CTCAGGACTATCAACAAGACGATTCGGGACGAGAAGCTAGTCTTGGGGAGAGGTCGAGAGACCCGGGGGTCGGCGACTCGAAGCAACGATCAGGTCGTCTCGAAGAGGAAGAAGAAGAAGAAGAAGAAGAAAAACGCCATAAACATAAACGTTTGGCGCTTCGTGCGGATTTCTTGGATCCGCGCTGGGGCCCCCTGGCGGCGCTCTCCGCGCACCAGGGAGGGGGGTCCAGCGCAGATCCAAGAATGCCGCGCGGAGCCCCAGCAGTTTACGCTTGTGCTGTTTTTTCTTGCAGGGGTTGAGAGACCCAGGGGCCAGCGACTCGAAGCGACGATCAGGTCGTCGGAGGTCTGGGGAGGTAGGGCGTCGGGCCGAACGAAAGGGGGGGATAGGGAAAGGGGCGTTACGAAATCTGCTGCATGCAGCTGGTTTCGGCCCCGCCGCCGGGGCCCATTCCTCGATACACTGGCGCCTCCCGGCGCCGGAAGGCGCTTGGAAATCAGCTACGTGAGCTGATTCTCTACCCTACCCTTTGCTGTCCCCCCCTTTCGTTCCCCCCGAGGGGGGGGCTGGCCCAACCTCTTTGACTTTCAGGAGCCCGAGCCTTCTCAGAGATGTCCCATGATCCAATACAAACTCCAACCTTAAAAAAAAGAAGAATCGCAGTGTCAAGTGAATCGTGGACTCCCAGGAAAATACGAGAACACATAGGAGGGGGTGGAACACGAGAACCCAGAACATATTGGAATCTATAGGGGGATCCTGGGATTTGTGTCCATTTGTTTGTGTGTCCCTGGGCCCCTTTGATCTTGTTTCTCCCTCATCCCTGTCCCCCCCTGCTTTTGTACTGGCTTGACGACTCTTCGCTGCGGCTTGGTGCGAGTCAAGGGACGGCATGAGCCGTTGAGCCCGCAGCGGCTCCTCTGGCGTCCGCGTGGGCGATTGGCCTGCCTCTTAGAAACCCCTGGTGGCTGGTGGCTCCGCCCCCATTCGGGGAGGGCGCGAGGGGGGGATCTGGGAGAGAGCGGCAAGCGAGATCTAATTTACGGCAGGAAGCGATACTTCTACGACAGGGAGTGGTCAAGTCGCGACAGCAGAAGCGGGCCCAGACATGATCGCGTCGTTTAACACATCAGGGCGGGAGGTTCTTGGCCATTCCCGGCCTCAGGGGGCCCTCGCCGGGCCTCGGGAGCGTCAAAAAACCGACTCAGGATGAAAGACCAGTCCCAGGGAAAGGGTCGGGACTTCCAGGGACTTCGCATTGAAAAATTCCGAGCGTCGCATGTCTGGACAGGATGCGAAACCTGCGGCATGCAGCCAGCATCGGCCCCGCCGCTGGCCGCGCTCGCTGCGTCGTCGCTCCCGGTGCCTCCAGTAGGCGCCGCGAAGGGCCGGCTGCGCGCACCCATAGGGTCAACGCTGAGCCAGGGGGGGGGGATTGACGAGGAGGGGCTCGCGGCCACGACCGCCGCCAGCGAGGGCGCGGCTCCGTCGCTGGCCGAAGGCGTCGGGCCCGGACCCGGCTTGGGGGCAACGTTGGAGGGGGGGGGGCGCTGTCTCCTCTGAGGTTCGAGGTTCGAGCTTTTCGAGCTTCTTTCTCTCGGCGTTCTCGTTGGTTCTCGTCGGCGGTTTGTGCCAGCCTCGGCGAGAGCTTTCCAGCGGCGGCGCCTCGGCGAGAGCTTTCCAGCGGCGGGGCGCCAGGGGGATCGCCGCGAGCGGGCGCCATGCGGAGCCGAGTGATGGCCCGGAAGCCAGGGGCAACGTCAGGGGCAAGTCGGGCGTGTCTCTCTACAGGAGGAATTCAAACACATAGTCGGTTCGACTATTTGTGATGATGTTCGACTATTTTTGGTACTTTTGACATATGTTTGACTTTGTTTATGTTGTTTGACTATTTTCATTTTTCCTCAAAAATCTGCCCGACCTAACGTTAGGGGGGGGCGGGGGACAGGCTCAGGCTCAGGCGGGGACGCATCGGCCTCCAGTCGCCCACGGCTCGCTGATATGGGGCCTGAGATAGCCCACCCCGCCCCGGGGCGTGCGGAGCCGCCCTCGGTGGCTCACCGGTGATGGATCGCTGATGTCAAGTCGCTGTTCCCCCCCCCTGGGCCAGTCCCCCTTCATCGTGGCCCCTCACTTAGGGAAAACGAGCGATGACATAAACATAAAAACTCGGAGGTCCGCGCGGGTTTCTCGGATCGGCGCTGGGGCCCCCTGGCGGCGCCTCCGGCGCCGCCCCTGGCGCGCTCCGCGCGCCAGGGAGGGGGGTCCAGCGCGGATCCGGACCTCCGAGTTTTTATGTTTATGCAGTTTTTCTTTCCCCTATCACTAACCCCCCGCCCAGTTGCTTCTCCCCCACCTGCCGCGTGCACCCAAGCCCACCAGCAAGGGCCGCACGAGGACCCGCCTGGGAGCCTGGTCGGTCGGCGCAGGGGCCTCGGGGCCCTGTTCGAAGGCTACATTTGAGTGGGAGCGTTGGTTCAGGAATGTGGCCAGGAGGCTTCAGGCCCCCAGGGGGGGTCCTTCATGGCCAATCCACGACTGGCGTTCCACCAGCTTCCAGGCCCTGGATTCCCTATCCAGCAGGAGTGGCCCCCCGTGCGAGCCCCCTAGGGTTCCCCGATCGCCGAGCGCGGTGCACCAGCAGCGGCTTGCGCGACTGGGTTTGCCCCGCCCCCCCTTCCCCCCGCCCCCCCCTCGCGCCCCCGTAAGGCTGCCCCACTCCAGCCTGAGGCCTAGGGGGCGTCTGGCTTGTAGCCAACTTGCGCAGGCGCCCCCCCTGCCAGGGTGGGGCAACGTCAGGGGTGTATATATATATATATATATATGTGTATCGGTATGGATGCATATACATATATATATATATATATATATATATATAAAACAAGGATGGGATGCATCGACCCCCAATCGCCCATTAGTCGCCGATGTGGGCCTCGTAACCCAACCCGCCCAAGAGCGTGCGGATTTACCATCGAGTGCCCATCGCCGATAGTATGACAGCGATGCATAACCAATTCTGTCTCGATGTTTGCCCCCTGAGCGCACCCCCCTGCCGATCGATGCCACTCACTCCTCCGCTTAGCCTCAGGTCGGGCATGTTCCCCTACAGGCGGATTGTGGTCGACAAATAAAAGATATGCAAACATTCACAAACCTAGTACTAGAACATTCCTCCCCATATTATTGTTTGATTGTTTCGCATATTTATCCTGAATAAGGAACGTACCCGACTTAAGCTTGACACAGCAAGGACGCACGCGCCCCCCCAGCCCTGTCAGGAGCGCACCGCCCCCCCCCCCCCGAAGCGGCGGAGCGGCGGGGCGAGCGCGACGGAGTTTGGAGGGTCCTCCTCCTCCTCCTCCTCCTCCTCCTCCTCCTCCTGCTCCCCCTCCTCCTCCTGCTGCTCCTCCTCCTCCTCCTACTCCTCCTCCTCCTCCTCCTCCTCCTCCTCCATTCCATTTCCTGATGAATAACGTCTCCCTGTCGCATCCCGAGGTCAGTTGCTAGGACGGGCCCGATGTTTCGCCCGAGACTTCCTCATCATTTATGAACCTGAAGCTTCAACATTGGCAACAGTTTCACGGATGGAGGACTGGTGGTTTTCAAAATGTGGCTCTCGCCTCAGCGCCGCGCACATTCGTTGAAGAAATTTAAATGAGCTTCACGGATTGAGGGCGGTTCCTTTTCAATATGTGGTTCCCGCCTAGCGCCGCGCACATTCGTTGTAAACAATTGTAAGAGTTTCACGGCTTCCCATGATCAAAGCACCAGAACCGGTGCTTCGGAAGGACTCAGGATTAGGAGGGTGCAACAGTTACGTTCGCACCCTGTGTTGAAGTCCCAAGAATGGCGTACTGACACGTTTTGGGGTCGTCAAAACGCAACAGTCAGGTTGATCCGTGGATTTGGAATCCCGAGAACATTGTTCTGGCACATTCCAGGGTCTTCAAACGGCTGTTCTTCCAACGAGGGCCTGCGAAGAGGGAGCTCGGAGGGAGGGCTGATTCCAATATCGTTGATGACTCTTGGGTTTACACTGGTTCTCCTTCTCCTCCTCCTCCTCCTCCTCCTCCTCCTCCTCCTCCTCCTCCTCCTCCCGGGGTGAGCGGCCAGGGGTCCGTGCAGGCAGTGGGTCCAGCAGACCTGACGGTCTCGGCTCGGTCCGGAACGGAGGATCAGTCTCCTCTGCTTAATCGATCCCTATCCCCTATCCCCATACCCATCCCGATCTCCACCGTCCCACCACCCCAGTTGGGGAGATGCCCCTCAAAGCCCGAAGGGAGCAGCCCATATCCCCATCTGGGGGAGGTAATTTTCTCGGTCAGGGGTGCCCAGGCCAGGGATCGGTGAAAAGATGCTCGTGGAGATCGAGCGTGGGAAAGGCCCACTTCGATTCGATCCATTCTATTCGATTCCAGTTTCGCTTTACCCAGGTCGATCCGGTGCCGATATTATGGCGATCCGATGCGGCCCGATGCTTGCATGGCGCTGTTTTGAATCCTGGCGCAGCCGATCCGACTCGACCTCGACTCCGTGCCGATGCAGCCCGACCTGACGCACATTCCGATTCGAGCCGATGTCCCGATTCGATGTTGACCGGTCCTGAAGTGCCGCTGAGGTCGCCCACCCGCCGCCAGGCGCTTTCCCAGATGCGTGGTCGCCTCCGACGCCGGGAGGGAGGTGGAACAAACCAGCTGCGCGCGCCGGTTCGCCACGTCACCCCCTCTTTGCTGTCCCCGCGCTCCCCAGGGCTCGATTCGCTTCTATCTCCCAGGCTGCCGATTCAAGCCGCTTCGGTGCGGAGACTGCGAGTTGCCAATCCAATTTCGAGCTCGCCCGCTCCGACTCCTGCCGACTCGATGTGTCGACCGAGTGTTGCCGGCTGCTGCCGATGCGGCTTCGCTGCGGGGCGGAGGGCTCCCGCCCCACATGGAGGAAGAGGAGAAGGAGGAGGAGGAGGAGGAGGAGGAGGAGGAGGAGGAGGGGGGGGGGGCCAGCTCTGCCGGCGGCCGGCCAGGTGAGCTTCCAGTCCGAGGAGCAGCAGCACTGCGCCGTGTGCCTAGAGGCGTACCAGGCGCCCGTATTCGCCGGCGGGCGGGCGGCCCCGCAGCGGGGGCATTGGCGGGGCTAGTTCTCCTCCTCCTCCTCCTCCTCCTCCTCCTCCTCCTGGTCCTCCCCCTCCTCCTCAACCTTCTCCTCCTCCTTCTCCTCCCCCTCCTCCTCCTCCTTCTCCTCCTCCTTCTCCCCTCCTCCCTCCCCTCCTCCTTTCCTCCTCCTCCTCCTCCTCCTCCTCCTCTCCTCCTCCTCCCCCTCCTCCTCCTCCTCCTCCTCCTCCTCCTCCTGCTCCCTCCTCCTCCTCCTGCTCCCTCCTCCTCCCTCCTCCTCCTCCTCCTCCTACTCCTCCTTCTCCTCCTCCTCCGCCCCCCTGTGCGGCGGAGGCCCTCCGCCCCGCAGCGGAGCCGCATTGGCAGCAGCCAGCAGCACTCGGCCGACACACCGAGTCGGCAGGAGTCGGAGCGGGCGAGCTCCCCAGACATGCTCGCGTCGGAAAAAAACATGACGAGCGGTTGTTAGCCATTCTCGGCCTCGGGGCCGTCAACAAAAAGACTCGGGACGAAGAACCGGCCCCGGGGAAGGGTCGGGACTTCGAGGGACCCCGTATGGAAACAATCAGGGCGTCGAATGCCTGGGTCATGTTTTCAAGAGGTCTTACTTTTCACCTAAGCCATGGTCAGACATTCGGAATTCGAATCTGGAACTGGTCCTGATGTGTCGACGATCTGTCGACGGTGTATCGCCGATTCCAGGGCGATGCATCCCCCCCACGATATGCCAGTCCCCCCCGATCGTTGCCCCTCAGAGAGGCCTGGGTCGGAAAGGGGGGTTGGAAGTCATCGTCGCCTTAAACATGTTTTTTCTCCTGCCCTCCACGGGGGGGAGTTTGCTGTCGTGGCGCGTCCAGAAAAATAGTCGTCGGGAATCAGAGGCCCGGCCCACCTCTGCCGACGGCACCATCCGGCCAAGTAGGCGCCAGAGCATCCCTCGTCGGCCCTGACATCCCTGAGCCGTGAAAGCATCACAACGCGAGGTTGCTCACGTTCGGCCTCCCGGGTCTGCCCTCACCGACCTCACAATCATCGGCCCCGCATGAACAGCGGACCCGAGGGAGGGGCCCAGATATTTGGGGAGCCACGTGGCGACAACAAGTCACGACGTTGGATGCCTGGGCCAGGCGATGTCTCGCCCCCCCCCCCCGGGCTTCGCCCGAAGATGGAGCGTCGCGCTCTCCACTCTCCATCGCAAAACGATCGAAACCCAAGAAACCCAGGGCACCCTGGAGGCAAGCAGGGTGTTTCTTGGCATGGGTCTCCATTAGGTATGGGTCTCCACTGTATGCCCCCGAGTTTGGTTCAAACGGCTCAGACCAGTTGCAAACGCCACAAAGTCGGGGATCGGGGTCACCATGCCCCCCGTTGCATATCGCGCGTCGCGGTCGGGGCTGGAGAGGTGCCCTTCTCCAGGGGGGAGCGACGCGAAGACACGAAAATGATCGGCGCGTTTCGCGCATCGCGATGCGCGAAGTCAGGAGGAGGAGGAGGAGGAGGAGGAGGAGGAGGAGGGGAGGAGGAAGGGCGAGGGCGAGGGATTTGGGGGACGCTTGGCACAGGGATCCGCCAGGGCCCCCCTATGGGCCACGGGCCAGGAGCTTACTTACGATCGGCCCCTCGCGGCTCGAAAGCCGACCGCAGAGCGGTGGATCCTCAGGCAGTGATCCCCGAAGCGGATCCCGACTGGAGGCGATATCCACCAGTGAGAGAGAGAAGTTCGGCGGCGAGATCCGAGCTCTGCCCCTCGCCGCTCCACGAGTTCGGGCAACTCGACGGGCAGCGGGGGCGGGGTGCGGAAGTCGTCGAGCACGCGGGGGAAGCCGAAGCCCGGCCCCGCCTCCCGCCGATTCAGGAGGATCGATGCTTGGTGGGGGAAGGGTTCGGACGTCGCCACTTCGAAGTGGGGCACCCCCTCGCTCCTCACAAGGATCGGGGCAGTTGTCCCCGCCAGCCAGACAGGCACCCAGAGGAGAGGTCAGGACAGAGCCGCGACTCCTTTCGTTGATAAGGGGGGTCTGGCATCGGCAGACTCCCCTTGTGCGCATGCTGTCGGGAGCGTTGGCTCAGCGTGTCGCGCCGCCGATCTTGGCCCACCACGCTTCGGCGTGACACGCTGTCCACGTTGAAGCATCCGAGGGTCAACGACCCTAGTTCATCCCAGCTTTCCGCCCCGTGCAGCGGAGCGACACGCTATGATTTGTGGCGACTCGGTTTCTATGTTGTGGAGCTGCGCCTATCTCGCTGACCACGGTCAACGTGTCGCCCTATGGTGCCATCGGCGACGTCTTGATCATGCCCGAATGTGCGGGTTTTGTGGTGCTGCGTCAAGAACACCATGCGGATGCTGAGCGGCTACCTGACGTTGCACATGCTGCCACTCGCTCGGGCTTCACAGGAGTCTGGGTGGCAGCGCCCAGCACGGGGCGGGGAGGTACCTACGGAGGGCTTGCTGTTATCGCTCCATCACAGATTCGCGTCAGCCTTGGACCAGACTTATCGGAACCCGAGGTTGTCCAAGGCAGGGCGCTGGTCTCGCATGTACACTGTGGGCCCTCAGGTGGTCTAGTCGTTATCTCTCTCTACCTCATTGATTCCGAGGGCCTCAGCGAAGGCAATCTTTTTGTGATGCAGCGTCTAGCGGATTACATCACTAGCCTCAATACGCAGCAGCTACCGTGGCTCATATGGGGGGGACTGGAACATTGATCCAGACACCGTCCTGCCTTGGCCCGACTCTCCGCATGGCGTAGGAGCCCACACAGATGCACCGATATGTCATGTCGCCAAGCCAGGTACAGTGCGTGATTACGTTGGCATGGCAGCTTCTATGGTCACATGGCAGCAGGGCATACACGTACGGGAAGGGGCAAATACCTTTCCCCACCTTCCTGTCCAACATTCGCTTCGCTACACATACCATCGGATATGGGCAAGGGTGCTTCAACAACCTCAGAGGCTCCGACCTATTCGAAGCCTGGCTGTGCCCGCTGTCCCCCGTGGGAGGCCTGGCGGCGGGTCCGTGGCGGCATAGCCGCTGCACGGACGCCAGAGGACCTTGCCGTGTCCTGGGGTGCTACGATTCGAGGTCTCGAAGGGGAGCTGCCCGACCGACAAGACATCGTCAACCACAGGGAGCGGGCCAAACACATCACCACCGCGGGGCTCTACGCTGGGAATGGAAGGAGGTCAAGCCGCCTGTGCATCCGCCTGCTCCGCGCAGGCTGCAGGCCTACAAGATCTACGGGCGATGGTTCAGGCATCTTCGGCCCACATGCCAACGCATGCTCCTGTGTCTGCAGCGCCTCGCGCAGGACCAGCAGGATATCTTCCCTGCCAGGCTCCTACCTAGCGCTTTGGGTCAATACGGGTTGCTTTCTGTTGAGGAGGAACAGGAGGCTGCTCGCATGGCCAAGTTGGCTTGGGATCTGCAGGGCTTCTTCGCCAGGGTCCAGAAGGCTCGGTGGGTGCACGTGCTGCTGGACACCGAGGATCGCCACCTCCTTCAGGACCTGCATGCTGTGCTCTATTCAGTCAATTTCGAGCTGCGAGCGGAGCAGGCCATCACCAAGGCTGAGAAGGTCAGCAGGGTGATCTGCCAGGTCCTGGCGCAGACGTGGACCGACTGGGCGGCCAAGGCCTTCGTCAGGGTCGCGGTCGCCGATAGGTACGCCGAGGCCCGCGACCTCCAGGACACCCTGAGCTACGCGACCGATGAGGGGCAGCCGCGCCACATGGCCGACGCCTGCCTTCAGCACTGGGCAAAGATTTGGCCCCTACGTGGCGACGAACTGTTGCAGGCGCCACCCGACGCCAGCAGCTGGGACGACCTGCCACAGTCCGACAGGAAGGAGGTGCGCCAGGTCTTGCGCGCGTCCAAGGTCTCCACAGCGCTGGGGGAGGTCAGGTGCCTTCGGGGCGGTCTCGGACATCGGCCTCCAGGTGCTGGCGGAGCTCTTCCCCAAGTGCGAGAGCCTCTGCATTTGGCCTGATGCGCGGCTGCACGCGGTCCTTGCCAGGTTGCCAGGCCCCCGAAGGCCTCGGGGGGGCGTGGTGGGTGTGTGTGTGGGGGGGGGGGGGGGCATCGCCTGATCGCGCTGATCAATTCACCAGTGCGAATTTGGAGCCGACTACGCCGCCCATTGTCCAAGGCGCGGGAGCTGGGGCCACCGCCAATGACGCTGCGTTCCAGCACGACAGGATGGCAGAGGTGGCGAGGCTGCAAAACCAAGGATCGGTGAGTGCGTTGATTGACATACACAAACGTTTTGAAACTATTCGGCGGAAAGTTGTGTTACAGCATGCACGGGGGTGTGATTTTCCATTAGAATTGGCGAGGCTACTACTGTCATTAAATCAGCAGCCCTGGTTGATTCGGGCGTATGGCTCTGCGTCTAAGTGTAATTCCTCGGCTCAAGGAATACTTGCGGGATGCTCGCACGCATGTGCCATGATGCTCCTCCTGCTCCGCGATGTGCTCGAGCGCCTACGACGTACCTTCCCGCAGGTCACGCCAAGGGCCCTAAAGGGCGACGTCAGCTTCCAATGGGTCGAACCCTGTGCGAGGCAGGCCGGGCAGCTTTTCTTCGCCGCCCGACGGTTTGTCCAAGAGGTGGAGCCGCTGGGTTTGATCCTGCAGACGGACAAGAGTGGCTGCGCCACGGGCACGCATGTCTCTAGGAGGTACATTGGGCGATTCACCAAGTCCGCGGGGATCTCTTGTCGCACGCATATGCGCAACCTGGGACACGAGATCACGGGGTCCAAGGTGAGCATGATTCAGGAGAGGAAGCACCTTCTCGCTATCGGAGCTTGCCAACGCCGACTACGTGCACTGCGCCTCCCCAGCCCCTGGCAATACGAAGGCTCTCTGGAGGTCGGGGCTACTACCTGCGGCGGCTCACGGGGCTGGCGTCAGCGGGGTGGCACCCCATACCCTCCAGAAGCTGCGCACCATGGCGGGGGCGCT